TTCTATCCTGGTCCTGCTCAGGCAGGGCATTAACGAGCAGAAGACCTCCTGTGTCATCTGGCCCTGTTTCCAGCAGGAAGCAATCAATCAATTCTTGGCAAATATAACTGCAATCAATAAAATTGCATTATCTTACCTGAAAAATGTCTACAGCACCTTAAGCAATTCAGACAATGGATCACTTCAGCAACACCACTTTTCTTAGCTCCCTATCTGAATATTTCAGGATGTTCTGCTGGTCTGAGGGTCTGGGGTGCCCAGGGAAGAGAAAAAATGCTAACCCAGATGGAGGTCACACCACACAAAGCTGTGGAAGAATGGAAGAGTGGATCATCCCTGATCCACACAAAGTCCCATTTAATGCTCTTCTTAAGTGCTACTTGCACGGGCTCACTGTCACTGGCATTGCTACATTATGACCGCAGTACACTATCAGTACTATACAAGCTAAATGTTAAAAACACCTCCTAATCACCTTTGAAAACTCAGAAGCTATTGGAAAACTGAGAAGCTTAAGGGAGCCATGGCCTAAAGATTAATTTACACACTGAAAAACAGTTCTTTCAGGGTTCGCTACTTTCTCTGTAACATGGAAATTCACAAGTTTGTAATAGATCTTTGCAAGCCAATACGAAATCTACAGAAACATACAAATATGCTAAATAGATCTGGATAAGAGACTTGTGCTGCCAATTTATAGGACAAACAGCCAAAACCTTGCAGGAATCAAAACTTAAATTCTAATAAAAATGTGTGGCTATTTGCAACCACATATTCTGAGTTATATTCATAAAAGGGATGCTAAGAACTTTTTGGATTAAGAGTGGAAGGCAGATGTTACTATGAAAAGTGAAATGCTATGGCAATATTTTTCCATGCCCTCCTACCTACAAAGTCTGATCTAGCATGGCCAACACTGAAAAACTGCTAGCCCTGAAATGCCTTATTTTGGAAAGGAAATTTCTTGGTTGTGAGTACATTAAGCCAGCCATCACCAGCTCTTCGCAACTGAAAAACAATCAGCAGAACGAACTAAAACACAGGAAGTGCCAAGTCCCTGACACAAGGTCAATTGCAAGGTAATTTAATAGTAAACCACACATGAGTAGCACTGATTAATTGTGCTACAGTGTGGGAGCAGTACATAAAAGCCCAAAATCTCCTTCACCTTGGGTAAAGTTATTTAGGATGCCAATCAGATCTTGCACCTACAGACACAACTGAATCATACAATACCAAATTTTAGGTTTAAAACCCAGATGAATCATTTTCTGCTCATGTTTCTCCTCATTCTCTTATTTCTGCTACAGGTAACCAGTTTAAAAGTACAACTGAAGACTGCTAGATTTGTGCAAACATTTTCCATTCTCTTCATTTTCCATTCTCTCCTTTCATGAGAAGTTCTGCTTTATGCCCTGTTCTCACGTGCCACACAGGTCTCTCAAAACTGCAAAACAAAACCTTCCAGGTTAATTCTTACTCTTTTATGACCGTCCTTTCTCACCACTATATCTTTAGCTTATGGTCATGCAGCATTCAATCACTGCAGAACCTTTGATATGTATGAAATTCAAATTAATTTCACAGTAAGACTTAAGATGTGAGCCATGTAAAAAAATTTACAGGGGTGTTCATATGAGGCAGAAGGATGTGATTTTTTTGTATTCAGTGTACACTCCGCTGCCTTAGTTACAGTAAACAGTTTTAAAGGAAATTGATCCATATTGGCAATATTTCTGGTTTTTAAGTATGCTGATTTCTATAAAGGGCCAAAACTCTGTTGTGTAGACGAGGTCTAGGTTACTAATTGAAATTGATACTGAAAGTACCTGTCACAGCACAAAACTGTACTTTAGATCCCAATATCCTAGATTAGGTCCCTGAATATATTATCAGCTCTTCAAGAGTTCCAGAAACTCCCAAGGCATCCAGACATGCTTTCAGGTTTAATGCTCTAGCACTCTTCAAAGGATCTGGGAAAGGAGGGTACACATATGTGTATCAAAAGACCACAACTCCAAATCCAAAAAAATCCTCCACAGTTCACTTTAAATGAATATACTAAATTTGATTTTATCTTAAAGGCCTTCTGGTTTTAAATAGACTTCTCAACCAACACTGGAAGCCAGAAATGGGGATGCTACACATGTGGGCATAACCTGAACTAAATATCTAGATAACTAACAGCAGTAAAGCCACAAAAATACAGATTTCCATGAAGGTCTTCAAGTACCGTGCAGACGGCTCATGTCAAGGCCTGAAGCAGTGCAGCTTCACTGATTTTTAGCCAAACAAATTGAAGCTACCTTAAACACACTGCAATCATACCTACAAAAAGCATACCTTAATTACGAGCAATTTACATACAGCCTTCTGATTTTTAGGAAACTGAAACAAACAGCTACAATGGATGTGAGATACCTGCATATTTCAAAGGGATGGTAATGCTACAGCTGACAGCACCTTAATTGTCAATGCAGTTGTGCTGATCCAATGCATTTGTGCTGTAGGTTCAGCAACAATTGCGATGCACAAGCGCAGCTCCCATTTTCTACCAGTAAAGCATCTTCCTCACATGCAGTCCAGCTGAACTGACAGTACTGGTTTAGGACATGAGCTGTGCATCGTGTTTTTTACTTGGGATTTTAAGATTTTCAGTGGAAGATCCAATGGGAGAGGCAGTTCTGAGGGTCAGACTCAGACTACGCTGATGTCTAGTTTTCCTTTCAACCTCATGAAAACCTTTGTGGCACTTCGATTTACTTCAGTATTGCTGTTTCTGTCCTTGCCTTTCTTACTCATCTCCATACTCATTGTCTTTTTACTTCTCTTCCAGTGCTGTTTATTCTATTCTGATCTACAGTTAAGTTCAGATCTTGCAGGCTTCACTTAATATTTCCTGACAGCGATTTCAACTATCAGCTGTCCCAACACAGGAACTTTGCATCATCCCCGTAATCAGAACACATAAATGTATTTTCATTTCATTAATATGACAGCAGAAATCACGCCAGTATTTATATCCATTTTCAACAGCATATCAGTATATATTGACGGCTTCTGGCTTTATATGGAGAAGACAGGGCTTTTAAAAGTCATTACAGAAACCACAATTAGACGTGATATAGGTCATCGTCAGCCACAACACTGTTCAACAAAATTCAAGGCAGCAGTGAACGTAATTTTTCAACACCGTAGTGGACTTTTGACAAAACTGACTCCTCTATAACCTTGGGAATACAATGAGATATTCGTCATGGAACAATAAAACCCGTCTACTGCTTGGGGATATTTTGACAGGAATAACCTGTGAATCCACTTTAACCACCAGAGAGCTTCTGCAACACTGTAAAACGTGCCTCTTGAGAAGATATTTCAGGCCTGAAAGAGAGGTGTCCTACAGCAATTCAAGGTTCAACTACAAATATGTATCTTTAAAAGTCTTATTATTAAAAATGAAGCCAAAAGATACAGGAGCCTAGAAAGGAATGCAGGGGATTAAAAATGCTGAAATTCTGACCCTAGTAACCTCAAAACTATTTAAGACACTGAAGTAGCAGTGCCCTGAATTGATTTAAAAACTAACACTGAAAGGAGTAGCTCTTGCTTCTTTTACCTCCCGCTCCTGGTTTAGTTCCCTCCTTCAAAATCGATCTGGCACTTACTGAACCTGGTTCAACTTACTGATCTGCAAGACCTTTTACTAACCCAAATACAATACCATTATTGGCTTTCCCTATCCAGCTTACACCAGTGGAAGTACTCACGTTGGCACAGAGGGGAGGGACAGGAATGTTAGAGTGTCTTCCAGTACTAACATAGGGCATTCAGTCCTGATTATGGCCTAGTTTTCATTAGAAGTATGTATCAGCTGTGGCTATTGCCTCTGAAATCCATGTCATCCACAAAAGTGGCAATTAACAAAAGAAAGTGACCCTTGTCTCTCAGTCCTAGCTTTTGCTCCTGGAAATCGTAACTGCCCACAGACTAACTGTGAAGATTCAGTTTAAAACGACGGCCTCAGATCAGCTTTTAGGGTACGCAAAGGAGTTAAAAGAATTAAATTGCACTCTGAACTTGGGGAAGCCATTTAGTGCCTCTCTGCTGCAATCCATCACTTATGAAAACAGGGATAACGACAATTCTGCTATCTCTTGGTGATGATATGAAGATAAGTGTGTTTTTTAATAGGAGATTTCTCAATACTACGCTCATCAGCGAGACACGAACACCCAGTAAGTATTATTTTAGTATGAAAATGAAAGTAATTTTGATATTGAAAGTACATTTTCTTCAGCAGCTGTGCTTCTGACAGAACAGTAACCTCCTCTTAGGAACTTCGATTTTTTTTTCCCCACCCCTGTGAACATTTTTTCATTACTCAGCCTAGTACTTATTTCTGTGGCCTAATCCCGAAACTGACGAAGTGCCCCGCGCACCCCTCCACACTTTCCTGAAGCTTCAGGGATTTCCCTGGGACTCACATGGACCCAAGTCCACTTCCAGGCCATAAAAATCTGTGAAGTACCTAAAATCCTACACCCTTCCCCTCAATCACTGCCAAGGACTACTGAAACAAAGCCTTTTGTTTCTGGAGTCACAGTCTTAATTACCTTTTCCTTCTGGTCTGCCTCCAGAGCGGCTCAGCCGATGAAATTAACGTGGGGAGGGGTGGCCTCCTGGCCAAAGGGACATTTAAAAGCATAATTGAAAGTAAATTTAAAAGCACCCTTTCCCACTGCCCACGATGGCCGCGGTTTTGGGGGGGGAACCGGGGGTAGAACCGGCCGCCTCACGCTCCCCTCGGCCTGAGGGAGGGGCGGCACCTGCCCGGGAAACCTCCCACAGCCGCCGGCGGCTCGTCTGTCCCCACGGCCGTACGGCGACACGGGTGGCTCCCGGCTTCCTCCCACGGCCGCTGCTTCCTCCCCTCAGCTCTGGGCCCGGCCACCGGTGTCCTCCCGCCCCACCAAGCCGCCCACCCGGCCCGGCGACCTTACCGCTGGCACCGCGCACATCCCAGCCTAATGGCCGCGACCCCCCGCCGCTCTCCCCTCGCTCCCTCGCCGCCGCCGCCGCTCCGCCCCACCGGTACCGCCCCGGCCCGCCTCCGCCTCCCTCCCCCGGCGCCCTTCGCCGCCCTCACCCTGCCTTTACCGCCCGTCTCCTCTCGCCTACCTCACGATGTGGTCTTTCTCGCCGGGGGAGTCACTGAGGCGGCGGAGCGGCCCTCCAGAGGCGGCCCCACCGCACACCCCTCGGCCTGGGCTGAGGGGTGGCTTGTGGGGGCCAGGCCTTTGGTTGCCGCCTGGGGAGGCGAGGTTAAGTACCCCCAAGGAAGCCTTTTCCCTTACTTGAGGGCGAACCCACCCCCAAGCCAGGCAAGGGGATGTCCTGCCCAGGCGACAGCAGCTCTGCACCCCCTTTTCTTTTTTTTTTCTCCTGACATGCTCAGGAGCTGAGTTTTCAAAGGGAAGAACGAACTGAGCGGCTTTTACACCCTCCATCAACCTCAGCACTTGCCCATCCAAAGCTTAGTTATTGTTAAAAGAGATTTTTCTTCTTTTCCTTGAGGCCTCAGGAGGCAGAGGTGGTGGCAGAGTGTGACAGAACCTGGTGGCCTGACAGAACCTGGCGGCTGTGACAGAACCTGGCGCCCTTGGCAGCTTTGTCAGGGAAATTGATGGTCTTGATCTTTTGCCAGGGCAGCCTGGCGCTGAAGACAGCTCGGGCTGTCTATACATCAAGTTTTCTTAGCCACTGAGCTAATCAAGGTTAGCAAACAGTCTCTCCGGTTTTCTAGGAAGTAAGCCTCTGGCTAAGGAGAAACTGCCTGAATGATCTCAAACAAATCACTGCCATCAGGAACCTCAGTGAGTTTTTTCATCAACAGACCTTTTTGAAGCCCTACGCTCACTGCTCTTACTGCCTTCCTGAGCCCTCTTGAAGGCTGCTCTTTACAGTGAAATCACACGGCCTTTTATACAAAAGTGAGAGGATTCCAACTCCAAGCCCATCTTGGAGTAGGATAGAAAAGGAGGCTGAGGGGAGACCTTATCACTCTCTACAACTGCTTGGAAGGAGGTTGTAGCCAGGTGGGAGTCGGTCTCTTCTCCCAAGTAACAGGTGACAGGACAAGAAGAAATGGCCTCAAGTTGCGCCAGGGGAGGTTTAGATTGAGTTTTAGGAAAAATGTCTACACTGAAAGGGTTGTCAAGCATTGGAACAGGCTGCCCAGAGAAGTGGTGGAGTCACCATCCCTGGAGGTATTTAGAAGATGGGTAGACGCGGTGCTAAGTGATATGGTTTGGTGATGGTTTTTGTCACTGTTAGGTTGATGGTTGGACTAGATGATCTGAAAGGACCCTTCCAACCTCGGTGATTTTATGATTCTGTTGAAAAAGGAAGAAAAACGCCTAGAAAAAGTTATTTACAGACCCCTTGTTCCCTGTTGAAATGGACTGGAAGTACCAGGAGTTGTCCAGTATCAACAATGAATTCCTATCAGAGAGCCAGGAGGGCTGTGCTGAGCAGTGATAGTTGTTTGTGATCTCCTTCCCATGTGCATGTCATCGTTTTCCTCTGTTGTCCTGCTTTTTGGCACGCCACACATCCCTGACCACACACTGAAAACACTTTGTTTATGTTTCAGTGAACAGCAGCTGATGGTCTGTTCTTTGAAGGGCCCATATGGCTAGCAGGAATTTTGAAACATACTGGTGTGTCAGATGGAATAAAAATACATCTATATGAAGGAAATCCATAACTGCCACCTTGAAATTATGCAGGTTTATTCTTCTGGGCAGGAAAAGATAACCGAGTTCTTCTGTTTCCTTGGCAGGATCCACCACCTTTGCTGGCTCTAGGAAAGAGGATGTGACTCCGAGGGGGGCAGAGTGAGCTGCTGCAAGACACAAGGTAGTAGCAGGCCTGCCAGAAAACAGTTACTTTAATGTTGTTTAATTGGTTAACATACTGATTTATCGGAACTTTTAGGCTAGCACAGGTGTTTGAGAAAGAAGAGAACATCACAAAGCTTTTAACAAAATAGCCACCTCTTCTGTAATCACATCAGAGCTGTAAAAAATTAATATGCAGAGTCTCATATTTCCCATTCGTATTTTTTCATGCATGTTAGTCCATTCTGTAAGCTTACGACTACAAAAGGCACAAAAGGCGTCATTTTGTATCCCTCGTTTGCCCAGCGGTAATGATTGCCTCAATAAGGCCTGCACATCAGTGCTCTGAAAAAATACCTGACCAAGCTGTAATTGAGCTAGCTTACCTGCCAGAAGGAGCACAGCTGCCCCAGTGCAGCACTGTGCAGTTTAATTAGATGGGTTGAAGCAGGGTATATAAGCTGTTCAGGGAGGTAGGTCTGATTGGGGGGGTGGGAGGCTTTACTGGTGCCTACCTTGGCTATTACACATACACTTTTCACGTCTGTCCTTCTGTACTACTGTCCAGTAGTACAAATGGTCTTCATCTGAAGCACGCAAAGCAACCATCCAGCATGTCTGACTTGTAATTAACCTATCTTCTCCCAAGTATCCTATGGAAGAGTAACTACAAAGAAGATTGTCACCAGAGACACTGATTGAGAAACCTCACTGCTAGCTTTTCTGTGTGGAGGTAGTAACACTGAATGTCATCCACACAGATATGTCCCTTTTATTTTCCAGAGAGGTCTGCAGGTGCCTTTCATATTAACTCCTGAACAGCTACATGAAAAGGGAAATCTCTGGGCACATGAAAGCCATTGATAACTCCAGCACAGTTGGAGAGCTCTTTGGTCTTCTGTGTTCTTCAAATCCTCTGTTCCTGGCTGCAATAACTCTGCAAGTACAACATGAACAGCTCATCCAGCTGTGCTCTTATTGGCACCAGTTAAGGCACATGAAAGACAGGAACTTACATCAGGGAACTGTCAACTAAACATGCTGGTAGACTGAAAACTTTCCCATGAAGACCTGGACGGAAGAGGGAAATTTGTCATAGCATGCCATCAAATGTTTCCTGGAGCACCTCAAGTTAATGAAATGCTAAGGACCTGGGTATGATTTCCCAGGCATTCCAGTTCCAAATCCACATAAGTAGCAATGCCGGTGGGGATTTGGGTTTATAGACATAGATGGTTATCATTGCTGCAGTGTGGATGCTCCTGGACCAGCTTAGCAAGTACAAGGTGCATTCTTATCAGGTCAGTGGATGTGCCTGAGAGCTTTGGTGTGTATTTACAGTATAAATAGTGACATACTATGATATAGACTCTGCATTAAATAGCTTTGAAGATGTGGTAGCGTATTAATCATAATTTATAACCAGAAAGGGACTTGATTATCACGTAGTGATTTGATCACCTTTTTCCTCCTTAGCTCTGCAGTAAACCCAAATAATTTAACTGCAGCAGAGATTTAACGAAAAAAAAATGTAAATTTTAAATTACATTGAATTATTGTTTACAACATCATTGGCTAAATGATGTATTTAGAGTCCTAACCAGTGTTTTATGTGAAACCCAAATATTTTGCTGTCAGTTTTAATTAAAGCTGTCAGTTGTGCATATGCACTAAGGTAGCCTTTTACTACAAGACCCTCAGATGTATTTCCTGACAGGACCCCCATCTGCCTCACTTTACAGGGTGATGGATGCAGAGTGAATGAGACGGCCGTTTATCTGTTCTAGTCTGTGTGTGGCTGTAACCTTTATTTACCATGCACCATTTAAATCTGTATGGGTTTATTGATTTCCTCATGAGGAGATTGTGTTCATCCCTGGAGTGAGCATTTAATAAATATTCATGGATTTTCCTCCACAGCTCTCTGTGAGACAAGAAGGTGTTACCACTTCCATGTTACAAATAAAAAATTGAAACAAAGGAGAATAAATACCACAATGTGAAAGTGTTTGCTGGTGATTCTGAGACTACAGATTCTAATGCTCAGTTTGAAAGATCTAAAATTTGTTTTTATATTTTTACAGTGCAAGGTGTATTCTGTGTATATTATGTACATTTTGCAAATCTTGAGAGAGGTAGAGTAGGTATGTAAATATTATCATGGGAGCTTTCCTGAAAGGCACCTTCTGGGTCACTGAATCTATTCCCTTGTTATTGCACGCATGCCGTGTAATCTGGCTCATAAACTGACTGAGCTTTATCTTAAAAGTAATTAGGTGCTTTGCTCATATTACTGTATTAGAAAACTGTTCTGGAGTATGGTTGCTGTGAGGGCAAAGTATTATATTCTAGCTTCAAAACTCAATCTCATACCCATTTACTCTTATACTAGCAATGACCACTGTTTTAATGGTTTAAATAGTTCTTTTTGTTCCTGGTATTTATCCATCCACCTTTGTTTTGCTAAAGCAAACCAGATAAGAATGAATTATATCAAACCAAACGAAGACTAACTAAATTCTGAATATAAGTGTCCAGCCAAAGGTGTGCTGCTGTTTAACAAATCCATTCAGACCTTAGTTAATGTTGGATAACTTTCCCTGACGTAGCTTGTGTAGACGTTTTTTAAGGGAGTAACTGACTGTAGTGCTCACTCATGCAGTACTTGTGCTTTGCCTGTGGTTTATACCATTATGTTCAGCCAACTGCAGAATGCCAGGAATCGGGAAGCTTGCGTCATATCCCAGTTCTGGAGGGCAGTCAGTATTAGCAGTTATTATTAGCACTCGGTAGCGGTTGTTATTACTGGTGCAGCATTTACTGATACACCACTCACTGTGCTGTGGCCATCGTGTGTATTAGGAACTTTCACCCTGAAAGTCACTAAGATGATGGGACTTTTTGTTCTAGGGATTTTCATTCTGTTGCCCGTTCTGCAGAAAGTAATCACCAACTGGAATTTAACAAAGAATCTGAAAGAGTCTTTCACTTTTAAGGGGCTCTGAATTACCAGGACAAGCAGAAAACTATCTTAAATGAGATATCATCATCTTACTGCAGCTCCTAATGCAGCAGGAATTTACCTCTTACCTTGGCGTTAGTACTTTCTACAATAGGGAAGTTGAATTGGTAATCTAGAGTGAGACTCCAGCTTCTAACAA